GCTAAAGGTGGAAATGGAAAATTGCACCTAAAATTAGAATATGTGCCGAAGAATGGCAACGGAGACCCAAAAAATTCAGGTGAAAGTGACAGGGATACTTCGGACGGAAGTCGATTTAAGCTTGGCAACTTCCGTAGAAATAAAAACTGAATTGATGAGGAACACAAGGTAAGCATGATTGCTGCATTGAGGCGGTTTTAAAAACTCTGCTCAACTCTTGACATTTGCTTTAATATTATAGAGTTCTAGTCGACCAAAACATTTCCTTTAGATATTTATTATTTGTATTAAAAAAAATTGTTTTCTTTCCTGTCTCGTCTCTCATTACGTTTATTATTATCATTTCCCCAAGAATACTGTTTATATATATGTGCATCTTATGTACACTGTATATATGTGCAAGTTTTATCTTATTATTTATTTGGTTTAAAAAAAAAACCCCTTTTAGGAGCACGTAAATGGTTTTGCAGATCATTTTTGAAATTTGCTTTTTGAGTGCGAATTCTTGTTACCTTCGAAGAATCGCACAAATGAATGCCATGTAACTTATTCACTTGGATTTGTGTCGTTTAAATGAATTAAGGAAATCAAAAGTAATATTTTCTTGGCCCTTAATAAATCAGCCGCATGTACTTTCTTCGACATAAAATCCTGGTTTGCTAGTGTGTATGGTTTCATCACATGCATTCAGTTTATTTCAAAGCTTAAAGGATTCTTCGAAAAGGTTCACAGTCTCGTTCCTAGGCAATAAGTTCCCTTATTATTTGTTGTTCATCTACATGTACCATTTTGTCAACTTTCTACATTTGACAATGACGACGACTTGTGATTGGTTTCCGAATCTTCAATTGATTCTTCGATAAGTTCTTCAACAGTTGTTTCCCCCTCGCCTGTGCCTGTGTCCTTTGCCGAGGAATTTTCCTTTGACACCGACAATGGTGTTGAGAATAAATCCAAAATTTTAGAGGCGTCTATATTCTCTTTCGGGTTACTCTCGTTAATATAAAAGCCCGTGAATCTGGGTCTATACCGGTGAGGCAATGGTTTGTGGTGAACAGCTATGTGAATGTCAAAACGTATTCATTTCACGGGAATCTAACCATAAATCTGGCGATGATTGTAGGAAATACCTTCGTGAATCGATTCTTCGAATTTAACATCGACGGATAAGGGCTCAGGCAGTGATAAGGTTTCGGTCGACAACAGTTTTGCAGATATTTCGTTGTCCTTATAGCTGACCCATCCAAATTTCAAGATTTTCTTGTGCTCCACTAATTCCTTATGTTGTCGAAGACGGAAAATTTGCGATTTTAGAAAAAAAAAGAAAAAAGAAAGAATCCTGTTTATCGAAACTTTACGAACGGATGTATACCCTCCCAAATTTAAATTCTAATAGAGGACCAATTTTATTAAAATACGAAAATATCGCTCTAGATTCTGCTAAATTTTTGACAGTTCCCGGATTGGTCATAAAGTAAAGGCGAGTCGGTCTTAATAATTTGGTCGTCATCCTAAAAAAATTTTTAATGCGTGGGAAAAGGGTGCATGTAAAACGCAGATTTATGCACGCTTATTGGTGTCACGATCATTAAACTCAAATGATCCTCAAAGTTTTCTTTTGTCCGACATCCTTCGATAGTTCCTCTTCATTTTCATGACACAAATTTCATCAACTCTCATGAATTCAAACCCATCATCTCCGACTACGAATGGTCGCCTTTCCTTTGAAACTGTTAGGAGGTGGAAAATCGAACAGGTTAAAAATTGGCTACAAGAAAACAGTCTCGAGGTATATCAACAGAACTTCGAAGGTAATTAATTATCTGGATACCTTTTGTCGTCCAAGTTGACCTCAATTTATTAACTTTTTCTCCGAAATCGATATTAAAATATTAAAGATAACGATATTAATGGTAACGTGCTTTTAGAGTTGGACTATGAAGTGCTTAAAGAGATGAATATTGGTTCTATAGGGGATAGAGTCAGAGTATTGTCGGCGGTGAAAAGTTTATTAAGAATGTGTGTGGAAAGTAGCCATCCTAATTATTTTGGCCTCAGCAAAAATGTTCGCATCCGTCTCATTCATTCCTCGTTCTCCTTAACGAAGTAATTTCGATTTCTAGTAAAAATACTTTCTTTTCTTTTAGTACACCGATAAGATTCCGGTGAAATTGGTTTCCACCGTTGAAAACGCCAAATCGGTACGCACTCTAATGTTATCGGACATTGCGTGAATTCGAACATTTGTCTCATTGGAATGCAAATTATCTTTATTTAATCCAGCGTTACATCAAAGTTATTGGAGAGGATAAAACGCGAACTATCGATATAAATGATATCAGCGATGCTCAATCTATTTTGGCCAAAGTTTTGCAAAAGTTCAATATTAATGAAGACGTTGAAAAATATTCTTTGTTTACCACAAGCGAGACGGGGACTGGTGGGATTTTTTTTTTTTTTTTTTTTTTTTTTTTTTTTTTTTTTTAGCGCGAAAAAAAACCTCTGAGCATTCACTCATCTGTTACGACTTTGTGATTTGGGATGATGCGGAACAATGTTAGCACGATGCTTGTCCGATGACGAACTGGTAGAGATATGTAAAAGTTTGGATAAACCTGAACGAGAGAGGTTGATCTTGCGAAAACAACACATACCAATGAGCTACGAACAGATTAAACAACGAATGAGAGATAAAAAGTTGACGAATTTCTTTGGAGAAAAACCACCACCCGTATCTTCGCAAGTGGGAATATCTCAGAAAAAATTACGAAATTTCTTCGGACAACGACCACCATCCGAATTAATTTCCTCGAATCTAACAGAATATTTCCCCGGTCATGCTAGTGAGGAGCTGGAACGCAGTGCGAGGAATTCTATCAGGAGAGCCTCAAGGCTTTCGGCTGCATCTAGATATTCAAAGACAAGGTCCAAACACATATCTAAATTCTATGACGAAGATGATATAAATAGTAGTGGTCTATTAGCTCCCCCATCGGACGATCCCAGACCGACGATCCCTGAAGAGGAAACCGAGGAAGCTGAGGAATCTGAGGAATCTGAGGAAGCCGTGGAAGCCATGGAAGCCATGGAAGAAGAGTCTGAAGAATTTGAAGAATATGAAAAGGAAGATTGGTCTTCTAATGGTAAACGGTTATTTGATCGTCAACGAATTCGCAAAAGCATCCGCTCTAATGAAAAAAAAAAAATAATCCTATCGCAATCAGAGAATTCGGTTTTTAAATGGATCAAGGGTACATTTATTGGCATGGGGTCCTTCGGTAGTGTGTATCTTGGGCTCAATGCTGTCACTGGTGCATTAATGGCGGTCAAACAAGTAGAATTACCTACAGGTCAATCTGCAAACGAGGAGCGCAAGAAATCAATGGCATGTCTTCCAAATATTTGTCTTTCGCGTGTGGTTCAAAGGTTCCTAACGTCACAATCAATCTCATCGTACTTAGCTGGATGCTCTGGAACGAGAGATTACATTATTGAAAGATTTGCATCATGAAAATATAGTACAATACCTAGGTGCGGAGTGCCACCTGCCTAGTAATATTCGCCCCAGCCATCTCGATTCTAATGATTAATTATATTAGGTTCACAGCACGATGGAAAAACGTTAAACATTTTCTTGGAATATGTACCCGGTGGATCTGTCGCCTCAATGCTCAACACCTATGGTCCGCAAGAAGAAACGTTAATTCGATCCTTTGTAAGGCAGATTCTGAAAGGATTGAGTTACCTCCATGATAAAGAGATTGTTCATCGTGATATAAAGGGCGCCAATATTCTAGGCAAGGATTGCTCGTATAATCTTGATACTTCATATTTGTATGCTCGAAATTTATAAATCTTCTTTTATAAAACTTTCAAGTTGACAACAAAGGTGGGATAAAGATATCTGATTTCGGTATCTCCAAAAAAGTCGAAGACCGTAAGTCATGCATCATTTATACTATTGTCTTTTCACTGCGTATAGCTCTCGCTTTATTAAGTTTTCGTTATATATCAGAATTTATGGCCGCGCAGAGGACATCATTGCAAGGTTCCATCTTTTGGATGGCTCCCGAAGTTATAAAACAGACAGCTTATACGAACAAAGCTGATGTGTGGAGTTTGGGTTGCTTAATTGTGGAGATGTACACCGGAGAACATCCATTCCCAGAGCTTAATCAGATGCAAGCAATGTATAGGGTAACTAAGCGATCGTCTTTTTTAAAGAATTTGAATTTATAATGAATATTTAATAATTCTCTTTTTAATTAGATTGGGTCACAATCTTGTTCTCCCAAGATTCCCGACTGCGTGTCTAACGAGGCAAGAGATTTCCTTAAAAAGACCTTTGAATTGTGAGTGCACAATGTTCTTTATGATAATTTGTTATGTTTGTTTATTTGATATTGATTTCTTAAAAAAAAAATCAGAAACCACGATGCCAGGCCCACAGCCAAATCGCTCTCGGCACATCCATTTGTCTTAACAACCTCAACTAAATCCAATCCAAGCTTATCGCCATAATATTCGAGTTCCTTAACGCCGACTCATTTATTAAAAAAATTGCATTAAATTTAATAATTAGAATTATTTGGTCATTATTTGTAACATTAAAAATCTGAATGCAAATCTATGTCATTGTTGTTTTCGAGATAAATAATGTTTTCGCACTAAGGACGACGTTCCTCATTTAAATATGTAATATAATTAATCAAGTCACATGATGCAATGGCATTAATTAAATCGGATTCACGTAATTTAGGGGGGGTTTTGAGTACCTGTAGTCAGGCTAGATTGTCAGTTTATTAATCAATTAAAAACATAAGTACATTTTCATTTGATACATACTACAGCTAAATTATTATTCTAATCTAACTAACTTGTCATAAGCATAAAAGCCTCTAAGTTTGGTCTTGGGGATAATATTTCACTCTGCAGTGTCTTTGGGTAAAAACCTTCCTAGTCCACTACATTATTTTCAACAGGTTGTCACTGCTATATATTGATCCAAGCTACTGGAATACAGGAAACCATAAAAGGATGGGTTGAAAAAAGGAGAGGTAGGATATTTAAAAATATTTAAATAGATAACAAGAAAATAAAAAGGTAAAATTAAAAAAAATATTTCTAGCTTTCTCCAAAGACCTGTTTTTCAAGACCTCTTCTCAATAAGAAATATCTGATTAAAATATCCTTTCTTTTTCTAACCATTTGAAGAATTTATCTATTCTTGATCTTGATTTCTTTCTTGTATATCATCTGAAGAAACTTATTACCTAATGGAAATCTTTACTTCTAGAATATATTTAATTTCAACTTTCTTTGAGTAGTGATTTTTTATTTATCTGTAGTAAAAAGGTAACTTATGATGGATCCCAAGTTCTTATATGATCCAATAAGAACTAAACCATATTGTTTTAATATGATACCTTTCAATAGTTATGTCTAGTTAAAAAATTTTTACTGATATATATATTTTATTACCTAAAAGATTAGATTTATTAACAATTCTTTTGTCTTATAATGATAGGAGGGTTGCAAAAAGTGATGGAAATTTTTATTAATTATAATATTCTTTAATACTTTTTGAAAAATACATTCTCAATTGTAATCAAAAAATTGGAATTTAGCATGAATTAGAGACTGTTCAGTCTTATTGCCTAACTGAAATGAAAAGAAAACTTTGGTCTTGAACTTTGTTTGACCAAAATAATAAAAAAAAAAGATTTCAGCTTAATCAAATAGTAGTTTTTTATCACCTGGAAACTTGTTGCTTATATCTTATTGGCCTTATAGAATTAGATTTGTAGGTTAATCCAATTGAAGAAGTAGAATAGACATAAGGTACCAATCAACTCTTTCTATTATCAATAATATTATTGAAACATATGAGGTAATCAATAGAAACTTGTTTATATTCAGCTACTAATGTGTTTTGTATCTATCAATTATATTTTGCAATATATTGTGGCATCTAAAATTCAAGGGTAGACAAAATTCTTCAGAAAATCAAAAAATTTAAATGACTATAAGAGGGAAGAAACAATAAACAAATATTTTAAAAATATGACTTGATGTTTGCCACCTTTCATAACACAAAATCTCTATAAACATGCTTCAATATAAAAGGCTTTGAGTACTATACTATTAGTTTTTCTTCCTTACAGAACTTTTTTGTCATAGGTAGAGAAGATATTTTTTGACTTTTCTAAGTCAGCAGAAGTCAAGTTTTTATTTGAGAATAAATATAAATATGAAAAAGGGTTTAAAAGTATTTCTTTAAGTAAAACTTCAAGTTGGTTTAAGAATAGTGTTAAGACTTTATTAGCAAAGAAATAAAAAAATTTTTGTAAACTTTTTTTTTGCATATGGGTAAAGGATCAGCGAAAAAAATTTTTTTTTATTATAATTAATAATTAAAGAAATATATAACTATTAATTAAAATTACTTTTTTTTTTTTTTTTTTCTTTATCAAACTAATTATTTTATATTTTTTTTTTTACCTGCTGTTAGATTAGTTATGTGTGTTTATTAAATATAATGTAGACTATACTATTTATAGTGTTGCAAAAGCTAAAATGCTAATTAACTCACTCATCTTAGTTTATTGTCCAACTCTAAGTGTAACTTTGAAAGTAATTTGTCACTCCATTTATAGTTTGGATAAATACTCTTTTACTATAAACATTATTGCCTACAATCACTACTGCAGATCACTGGTCAAGGTTTTAACTGAGCCTAAAACTTAACCATTTTATAATACTTTTAACTTCTATTATTATTATCCTTGTTAAATCTTTTTCTGAACATTCTTCTTTTGTTTTTTTTCTTTCTTCTCTTGACTTTTTCATTTTTCTTGTTTAATAAAACTTTATAGGCCATCTTATTTTATCTTTTTGAAAAATCTCTTAAGCTTTTTTCTATTCTATTACTAGTTCACATTGTTTGTTTTACACTTCTTTCCTGAAGTAATTCAAAATCTTCTTTTGACAATAGAGTATACATTTTCTGACAACTGTTCTAACTTTTTTCCTCCACATTCAAGTTCCTTACTTTTCTTAATAGATCTCTTTTGATCAGCCCTGAAATAAAACTGATTGAGTCTTGACTATTTGTGAATACCTTTCTAATAAACTTTGTTGTTCATGCTTCTATTTTTCTTATTTATTTTCCATCTACTGTTAAAATATTATTGTATTCTTTTTGAGCTTGATCTTTTTGCTTCTGCCCCTCATTCTTAAATTCTTGATATATTATCTCTACTCCTCTTAACCAGGTTTTCTTCATTGTATTTTTATATCTTGAGCATTCCAAAAGATGTTCTAATGTTTCTTCCTATTCTCCACATGCTAAGCAGTCATCTTTGTGATATAGGTCTGATCTCCTGATCACTAGTTAGGCCATTGTTGATAGTTCATTGTTAATTAACTTCACCAGAAAACTTTTCCACTATGAGCTTTTAAAGGAGATGTTCCATATATATTTCTTTTTTAGTCTTTCTCATACCATGTCCCATAAATAGTTCTGTTGATCTTCTATTTGAAGATTCCATTTGTTCCTAGTTCAGTTTTATTGTAACCAGCAGTATGTTATTGTTTTATTATTTATTCTTTTTATAAATTGTCTTATGGAACTATTCAATATTATATTCTATTATTTCACTTCCATAATGATCTTGTCAAATTTAGAATCCTTTCACTGGATTATTGAGAGGTTTAGTGCTTCTTTAGCCAACTTGTCTACTAGATTATTTTTCTTAATATTGGTGAGTATTTTAACTTTAATAAACTTTAATTTTATGTTTTTTTGTTTTGACAATATTTAGTATCCTTGCTCAAAGGGACCAGTTTTTTTCTTTCAGCTATCTTTTATGAGTCATTTTCAGATCATCTTTTTTTAACTTGTACCATTTAGATATATATGTTTGATTATCTATATAGATTTTAGCTAAGCTATTGTATATAAAAACTCTTTCTGCTGATCCTCTGACTATACACAAAAAAGATGTTCACAAGAAGTTTTATACTTCTTTGCTAATAAAGTCTTTATACTTTCATTAAAACAA